CCTTGACCTCATTGTCATGGATCTTTAAAAGTGTTTAATTTATGCCATACTTGTAGAAAAACCTGCAGAAAACTATGAATTCGGAGACTTTTTTTGATAAGTTTTGAATTGATCAGAGTATTTTTAGATAAGTTTAAAAATGTATTAAACTAGACAAAGTCAGAAAGAATAAGACACTGTTGCAAAAATTAAGTCAACAGTATTTGGGCTATTTTTTAATGAGGGTTTTTCAGAGAATCGAAACAAGATCAACACAAATTTAGCCAATATAAGTTCTGTAAGAACTACAGCACACTCTCATGTTTAATGTGGTGTTAATTGATATTTAAACTTAGATTTTTATCAGGTTTGTGTAGCTTTTTTATGGTGTGTGATTAATGATAATTGATGTTCCTTTGAAGTCTGTATACTTGCACAATATCATCTTTGTAAATACTTTGTTTGTTTCATCTGATAAAGATGACATTTACTTTTGTTGTTGGAATACAATAAGAAAAGGCCTGTATGTAGGATATTTTTAACTTAAGTAATTTAGTAAGGCTGAATTTTCATTTTTGTTTGTGGTGTTTATTTTGATAATAAATATCACGTTTATATGCCAATTAAACAGAGAAGGTAAAAAAGGCCAAGTTGATATTATATTTGAATTGTTTACATCTGTTTCTATGAGCTTTAAAAGTTTAATGTAGGTACATAATTTAGGATTTGTCCTATCTTATATACATGTTTTTTCTTAAATTATAGTATGGTACTTCGCGATTGCTTAATGGGTTAGATGTTACATAGTTAAGGGACTTTAACTGCCAGATTTAAGGCATTTTTCACATGCAGTGCACTAATTTTTTTTTTATTTAAACACTCATGACAGTTTACACTGTAAAAGAGACAGACAAATAATACAAACAATATATTACAATGATGAACAAAATAACATAATTAGATAATAGAATAGAAAAAATAATGTAAAAGTACATGTGACCTAGTCATATATACACAAGTATTCACTTCAATAGCACATGCAAATCACTCATATGTTATTTAAGAAGCTCTGTTAATAGTGGGATTTATTTATATTTCATATAAAAGCACATTTTTTTTCAAAAAATTATTTGGAAGGCATTTATTGTTTGATTTTTACAAATCAGGTGTTAAACTACGCAGAATTGTCTAAAGTATAATTGTTTATTTAGTCATAGTTTTGTCATCAATTTTTTATGGCCCTGCTTACTTAGGTCGGGGCCATATAGTTTTACCCTTATCCGTCATTCTGTCATTCAGTCATTCCGTCATTCTGCAAAGAACAGTTATACAGACTTTTTCTAAATGCCTTCACATATGGAGCTGATTTTTGGTATATGAGTCTATTATGATGAGTTACTGATTGAGTTTATGTTTAGTTCCGCTCCACTGATTTTTTCTGAAATTAAGGCTTCACAAGTTTAAGCTTTCTAAAAAGCTGTGGACTGCTTCGCTCTATCCTAATTTATAGTAATATGTGTGCATGTGGTTGTTGATTTAGTATTGGAAATGTGGTATTTTTAGATCTTAATTGATATAAAATGGATGTCTTAGACTTGGAATATCAATTTTTGTATATATATTAAGATGAACTTTTCTGAAATTTTAAACTGGCTGTTCAGTGTTTAGTTGTCAATGTGTTTTTGTGGAGTGTGGTTTTCTAGTTCTTTCAGCTGGTCATTGATTTGCGACTTTGATTGCTAGTTCTGTATATAATATATTTAGATATATATGAATGTTTAGGTATGTTGATTAAGAGTAACATGATTTCGAGGGATGAAGACAATAACAATAAAAATTCGTAAGGGTTCCACGGAACCCAGTGTCTCGCCTACTTTTTCTGTTGATCGCAGGCTCAACAAAAATGAGGAAGTAAATCAATAAAAATATTCCTCTTGATACTATCTTTTGATTGTAAGAAGCTTCTGTCCAAGTTTGGTAAAAATCCAGGATAGTTTATGAATCTAATAAATGTTTAAAAACTTTAACTGCAGACTGAATGTAATGTTAACTGGAAGAAAACAAAATTTCTTTCTAGATACTAGCATTTGATCATAAACAAGCTTCTGTCCAAGTTTGGTACAAATTCAAAATAGTATAAGAAAGTTATTAAAATTTTAAAAACTTTAACCACAGAGTGAATGTGTTGTTTCCTGGCAGAAAATCTAAGTCCATTTAAATGTAAAATACGGAAAAAATGGATTTATTTTTTACAAAATTTCCTTCTAGATACTAGCTTTTACTCATAAACAAGCTTCTGTCCAACTTTGGTACAAATCCAAAATAGTATAAGAAAGTTATTAAAATTTTAAAAACTTTAACCACAGAGTGAATGTGTTGTTTCCTGGCAGAAAATCTAAGTCCATTTAAAAGTAAAATAAGGAAAAAATGGATTTTTTTTTTTACAAAATTTACTTCTGGATACTATCTTATGATCATAAACAAGCTTCTGTCCAAGTTTGGTAGAAACCCAGGATAGTTTAAGAAAGTTATTAAAATTTCAAAAACTTTAACCACAGAGTGAATGTAATATTTCCCGGCAGAAAAACTAAGTCCGTTTATAAGTAAAATACGGAAAAAATGGAATTTTATTTTTACAAAATTTACTTCTGGATACTTTCTTATGATCATAAACAAGCTTCTGTCCAAGTTTAGTAGAAATCCAGGATAATTTAAGAAAGTTATTAAAATTTCAAAAACTTTAACCACAGAGTGAATATTTGTGGACGCTGCCAACGACGACGCAGACGGAATGTAGGATCGCTATGTCTCGCTTTTTCAACTAAAGTCGAAGGCTCAACAAAAACCAAGGCATTTACAAAAAGACACTACTCTGGAGGTGTGCCTAGATTGACAGAAGTTATAAAATACAGATAATGCATTTTTGTAAACATTGTATAGGAACATTGTTTAGCAAAACAAATCGTGCATATTGAAGATCAACAAAGCAAATAAACACGTATTAACAATTGATATTTCAATATTGAATTTCAGTGTGCAATACATGTATATGCATAATAAAAACGAACATGAATTAATGACAGTTGATCGGAACTGAAATACACATAGTTAATTTTCTGGCATTTGATGTCTTATCCTGAGACAAGAAAAGTCTGTAATTCTTTATCTCATTTAAGCCAATAGCTGTTGCTGTATCTCAGCCGCATCATAAAGCAACCAATCAGAATCTATATGTGATAAGTATTTATTTCAAGATGGCCTGTATGAGGGGCCTGATGGGGGGGGTCTCATCACAATTCACGAGTTGATTTTTTTTTTTGTCAATCACGATTCACAGAAAATAAATTTCCATGATCACGGATCACGAAAATATAAAAAAAAAATTAATCTGTAAAACGGATCACGATAGCGAAAATGCGCCGATCACGAAGAACGAAAATAACCCATCATGCCCCTCCTGTATATCGACTGAAACTAATAACTCCACACCGTGATGCGAAGCAAAAAGTGGACTTTGAAAATATCGTGAAAATATCAGTTATTCAGACTTTTTTTCTAAACGTCTTCACATATTGGGCTGATTTTTGGTATATGAGTTTACTATGATGAGTTACTGGTTGAGTTTACATTTGATTCAGCTCCACTGATTTTTTTCTGAAATTATGGGCTTTGGACTTTGAAAAATTTCCACTCTTAAAAAAATTTTTCTTATAATTAAATCTGGATGAAATATATAGCAATTTTATGAACAAAAATAATATTTCTGTTTATATCATCAGAAAATGAAAACACTCCACAATAAAAATATAACCAAATAAACCCAAAACCTGTGACAATTCTTCTTTGATTAGTACCAAGTTCATTAAAATCTGACCAGAAATGACCCAACAATGTTTTCTTGAAAAAAAAACATATGTTTATATGAAACATAAAAGAGAGACGAAAGATACCAAAGGTATATTTAATCTCTTAAGTCGAAAACATATTGTGAAAAATCACAAGTGATGAAAAATGTCTTTATACATTGTATGATGCATTATTTAAGATTTCATACCCTAGCTCATATATGCTTGGATCAATTTACATCAAACTTTACACTGTTGTTGGAATAGATGAATTTAAGCTCCTTTTTGATTTGTGTGACTTGAACCATCAAATTTAAGATAATTTTTGGTCTAAGGATATCCTCCTCCAAGTTTTTTTGCAAGGTCAAAATACATAATTCTAAGCCTTCTACAATATTCCAATTTGCAACAATTTCAATATGCATACACATGGCTTATCTTGTGCTCCTTGCACAGCTGTTTACTTCTTTGCCATGGTCTTATCTTTTCCTCCGCTTATAATTTCCCAACTGGTGTCTCCATATAATTCACCAGACCTCCCTCCCAATTGAATGCTTGTCCCTTTAAGGTTAAAATCATCCCATGTTCATTGTAGGGTAGGGAACATGGTAATATTCCATATGCAATACCTGCAGAATATAAAATAGAAGATGTGAGTTGATTGTCAATGAGACAACTATCTAGATTAACTAGGGGATTTTAGCAACTACAGGTCATTGTCAACAACCAGCAAAACTCATACAATACAGTCAGCTATAAAAGGCTGCAAAAGGCCCTCACTTGTCAAAATGTGAAACAATTGGCATGAAAAAACCAACAACTAATTTATGACAAAACAATAAATGAAACAAAACAAATATATGCAACCAATGACAACCACTGACCTACAGGCTCCTAACATGGTGACAGGCACATTTAGAATGTGGCGGGTTTACCATGTTTGTAGATGCTGAACCACAACAGAAGAACAAACTGTAAAAATTAGTTGGAAATTGCTCGACTCAGAAGCGAAAAAAAAAATACAGCTAACATACAGACAAAAGACACAAAACCAACAAGAAATTACTCGCTGTTTTCAGCCTTAGAAAGCTAAGTAATTCTGATAGAATGATTGTTTTGTACATTCAGAGCAATTATTATCACACAGCTTTTTCATACAATTTCTGTTTATTTTAGAAAATTATACATCACAACCAACAGCGGCCAAGGAACAGAAAGATTTTGATGTGATACCTGTTTACTGTGCTGTACTTGGTGCTGTCGTACTAGGACTACTAGTTTATGTTATATTTAAACAGTATATTAGACTGAAAAATAGAAAGATTCATAAAGGCCATCAACCTCATGAAGAAGTTGAATATTCCAAAGCTTCAGGATGTGATAGTGGAGTTTTTGTGGAAAATGAATTTTGTAAACAATGTAAGTCACAGTATCCTCAAAACACTTCAATATAAGGTATTAAGCAGCTAGTCAAATATGTGATAAATTCCCTCCATTGAAAGACAAATAAATCAATGGAGAATGTGTCCATTGGACACTGATGATGACCTGCTTGCATAAAACGTTATACAGGGACACAACTAGAGAACTGTAAAAGTGACGCCACCCAAATTCAAACTTGATCTGTGTTTTATGGTAATAAGCATTGTGTATAAGTTTCATTTGGTTGAGGGAAACTAAAGTTAGAGAACGGAAACCAATTTCGGGACGTACGGATCTTAATGCCTCCTCCATTATGGTGGGGGCATAATAAAAATGTTTCTGAATGGTGAATCAGTTGTGTAAACAGTTTAAATTGCATTTGCGAGAATGATGATGTGAATGTCTTCTCTAGTAGGATGTAAACTACTTTGATAGAAAGATAATCAGTGAAATTATAAGCATTATATATAGTCTTTACCTAGAATATCAAAATCAACAAAGACAGGACAAACATAAACTATTGAAAACTAAAGACCTCTGTAAAATTAGATGGTGACACCAGGTTATTGAAATAGAATTTAGAATGGAAACAGGAATGCATGTGTCAAAGAGAAAACAATCCGACCAAATAGCAGAAAACAGCCCAAGGCCACCAATGGGTCTTCAATGCAGGGAGAAAATTCCACACTAATAGGGGGGCTTCAGCTGGCCCCTAAACAATGATGTATACTAGTTCAGTAAAATGGACGCCACACTGAACTCCGAACATATAAATGAACCAAAATTAAAAAACACACAAGACTAATTAAGGCCAGATGTTCCTGATTGGGACAGGCACAAAAATATAGCTGGGTTAAACATGTTTTGTGAGATCTCAACCCTACCCCATACCTCTAGCCAAGGTGGAATAAACAAACACACAGCGATAGGCACAGTAAAACTCAGTTTAAAAGAAGTCTGAGTCTGATATTAGAATAGGTAACAGAAGAAACTAAGCAAAATGACAATGATCAACATAAATTAACAAAGGACTACAAGCAGTTACTGACATTCCAGCTCCAGACCTCAATTAAACTGATAGAATGATTATGTCTTTATCATATGAAAATCAAGCACAATCCCTCCTGTTAGGGGTGTAGTATCATGTCATCATAAATTATACAAGAAGAACATAACCCATATCATGCCATCTATCCTATATCATTTATTATATAGCCTTTTTAACCAATAATGATTGAGAACTTAGGAGAGAGAACAAAAATATCTCCCAATACAAAAATATACCTAGATTATCATTCAATTTATTTATTAAATGTTTTATCCTTTGCTACAAAGTTGCTGAAGGAATATATGGTAATTCCTCCATCTTTCTATTTATAATACTCTCTTTTAAAGGTTGAGTCTTACATCCAATTTTCACTTTGTTTATTCTACATTACCAATTGATGTGTTAGAGCCCTTTATAATTGTGTGTGCTTCTTAAAGGTAGGATACAACATCTTTAGGAGATAAAGTGTTTAGAATTAAAAATATTGTATTGTTTATGCAATTTATCAAGAATGCTTATAACCCTATACATAGCATAACTCATAACAATGTTAATCCAGCGAACAAACAAAAAAGGGCCTCTTTTGTTATTGTTTATTTCAAAGATACTGATTTTAAGTACATATTCAGAAGGAGGCACATTAAGTTTAAATCTTATTTCTTATTCTGTGAACACAATTCTTTTTCTTCCAATGTACTACAGTATTAATAAATAAATTCAAAACATTTGAATTGTAAGGGCATCTAATTGACATTACAAAGGAAGGCAATGAATAAAGACAAAAAAAGTTTTTAAGAAATAGTTCATTTTAATAAGAAAAAACAAAAGTTTCTTGTCTGCAAAATCGTGATTATGTAACTTCATGATTCATTTCTCGTCAGAAAAACATTGAAAATATTCCATTGTGCATGGTTTTGACAGAATTTTCATGAATATTCTAGCTGATGTATTCTTATATCCGATATTCATATACACGATAAAATTTACATTAAACTAATAGGAAAGGGTTTGGTGTTTGGAAATAATATTACTATAGCTGATATATTTGTTTAGCCGATGACCGATTAGGTGTAGTCTTACAAGCTGTATCTGTTTGTTAATCCCTGATGACCGATTAGGTGGAGTCTTACAAGCTGTATCTGTTTGTTAATCCCCGATGACCGATTAGGTGGAGTCTTACAAGCTGTATCTATTTGTTAATCCCCGATAACCAATAAGGTGGAGTCTTACAAGCTGTATCTGTTTGTTAATCCCCGATGACCGATTAGGTGGAGTCTTACAAGCTGTATCTGTTTGTTAATCCCCGATGACCGATTAGGTGGAGTCTTGCAAGCTGTATCTGTTTGTTAATCCCCGATGACCAATTAGGTGGAGTCTTACAAGCTATATCTGTTTTTTAATCCCCGATGACCAATTAGGTGGAGTCTTACAAGCTGTATCTGTTTGTTAATCCCCGATGACCAATTAGGTGGAGTCTTACAAGCTGTATCTGTTTGTTAATCCAGAGATTTTCTACATTCTGTTTTATTCTAAATTATTCCCTTCAGTCTAAGTAATACAATTCAGAAATTTCAACTAGCTCAAAATATTTTCATTTCATGTACATTTATAGGGTGAAAAGAAAAAAGGCTTCACATGCATCACCTTTGAAAATAAAGTATATACTGTAAGAAGTTTCAAGAACACAATAGGGAACAACATCAAAGCTATTTATCTTATGTAATTGGTAACAGATGTTTGAATAAAATCTTTGATGTGTTGTGTCATTGAGTTCGTAGGTAATTATGTAACAATCGTTGGCAAGGGGTGGAACTCACATTTACATAATGTAAATTTGATTGCTATTTTATTGCTAAACAAATAATATCCTTAATTTGCACATATTTGGTAATAAAAAGCTTAGCTTTCAAAGAATTGTAAATAGAAACAGACCCTTATTTAAATAAATTTGAAATAATCTGTTTCAGAATAAATGAATTGCTTTTACATAAAATAGTATTTTTCTCCTAAAATAGTTTTTTATAGCTGGAAAATCAGTGTTGAATGCTAAATGAATGCCTGTACTCCATTCAAAAAAAGTTAACTGTTTTCAAGCTATACTTAAAAAGAAAATGAGAGAATCTATTTATCACGCTGGCCGATTCTGCATGTTTGTCACATTTTTTCAGGACTGTGAATCATTCTGTATTTATGGTAACTGAAAGTTTCATCTGCATAAACTAAAACCATCAGTCAAACGCTACTTATTTGCTCCTAGGTCATATATATTCAGTCTAGTTGTAGATTGAAGCTGTTTCTGATTTTTCCTGTCCAAGCCATTAAGTTATTTTTAAATATAGGAAATGCCTTTCAATGATGATTTTACCTATTGAATGAGTTTGGCCTGCTGCAAAAATTATAAACAATTCGATATCTTTAAAAAGGCTAAATGACTAACCATATATTTCAAATTGTTTGACAAATTTAGCGTTTTGACTCGATGATTTTCTTGAAAACTCACATGTAGGTAGAAACGTATAAACAGCAAAAATTACCATCAAGGCAACCAGGAAGTTAAAAATGCCCTTTAATGATGATCTTGACCAATTTTTTGTGTTTTTGCCTATTATCTTGAAAACTATAATATATAGATTTTTACCAATCCTTTGTATTTTGATCAAAAACTTAAATAGATAGAATGTAATTGTTAACAGTAAAAATGATCAACAAGACAGGATCAACAAAAGAGAGATTTTAGTCATGAAGTACATTCTAGTTTACATTATGAGTGGGAACAGTTGAAGATGCACATACATCATGGTGAGCAACACAGGCTATTTAGAGTCTCTTTTTTTATTAATTGAGGATCATAACTCATTTTCTTTCCCGATTTGGCAAAAGTAAAAACGATCAATATCAATCATGACCTCAATTCTAGCATGAGAAATAGCTTCTTTTTTTTTTAAGGAGGCGATATGATGAGAGTCTTTATATGGCCCTGAAACTGCAAAAATAGTAAAATTCTTCAATTGAAAATTAGGGGCCTCGGTGGCAGAGTGGTCTAAGTAGTTACTACTGTTATCACTAGCCAGTCAACACTGAGGTTGTGAGTTCGAACCCCGCTCGTGCAGGTGCACTCGACTCCAATCTTAATTGACTAGGATTGTCAGTTTTCCTATCGAAGGTCAGTGGTTTTCTCCAGGCACTCCGGCTTCCTCCACCAATAAAAACTGGATGCCACGAAATAGCCCAAAAGCAGTGCTTAAAAGTGGCGTTAAAACTCCAAAAATCAAATCAATTGAAAATTACTTTTGTTTTTTCTTCTGATAAATGAATATGGTGATATAATCTGGACATTCCAGTTCAACAAAGTCAGTTTTCATATCACAATGACCTATATACCTAAAAAAGCCATTTTACATTTCGTTTTTTGGTTAGATTAATTCAAGGGTCAAGGCCTAACCCAAAAAGATATGTTACTCACATTTACATCTTTGTATAAGATGTAATGTATCAAAATAGTTTTTTGGGTAAAGAAAGTTCTAAAAATGATGCTATTTGGCAGATTTTCAGTTTTACACGAAATGCAAGAGCTCTGAATCCCAATTGATTTTCAAATTCAAGGGACCAAAAGAGTTGCCTTATAGCTTCCCCTTTGAAAAGGATTGTTGCACAGAAACAGTTTGAAACGTGACCTCTCGCCTAATAAGTAATCATGATTTTTCTCGAGAAAAAAAAATTATTGAAAGAGGTTATATATTTGAAAATGTGACTGTTTATAAGAGTCCTTAAAGGCAATTTTTACCTTTATTTGCTTTTTGTTTTGCCTGCGGAGAAAATTGCAAAATGCCAATCTGGTAATGACTTAGGTATGTGTAAACTACCCTTCAGGTATTTGTAGGAAGGTATATATTTCAGAAGGTAGAATACCGGTACCTGGATACTTTATGCTTTCAGATGTCTCGTGTTCTAAAGCTTTCATCTGGCATATGTCTATTGTCCTTGACCATGTATGTCGGACAGGGACCACCTGACTTTATTCTCATTTCATGGATGATTGATCAAGGATTCATGGTCAAGTCAGTTTCTTAGATACTTTAAGCAATTGATCAACTGTATATTGTGTATGGAATAATTGTATGGTGTACATGTTTGTCTGGCATTTTTTATCTGACCTAGACCTCATTTTCATGGTTCATTGGTCAATGTTTAGTTTTTGTTGTTTAAGATCTATTTCTCTGACACTATAAGCAATAGGTGTATGGAATGATTTGTTATAAGTTGTACCTATCTGTTTGGCAGGGTTCACATGTCCTTGACCTCAAAGTTCTTTGTTACACATTAAGTTTTCATTTGTTGTAAATATTAATATATATGTTATAGATTACATCATCAACACCATTCATTTAAATTAAAGGTTAATCAAATTAAGCAATCATTATTAAGACCATATATTTTATATTACAGATAACCAGCTCAGCAGAGTCAGAGATTTACCTGTGAAGAAGAAAAAAGAATTAGAAAAAAATTTATCTATGCATACCTCTGATGGTAATACATGGAAACAATTAGCAAAGGAATTAGGTAATAACGATTTAATAGTGAAGTATAGTATTGCTATTATATATGCATCAATTTGTTTTGATCTTTAAATAAGAAATTTGTATTCTCTAGCTTTTAGATTATTGCTAATAATAAAAGAATAAACAACATGGAATTATTTGAATCTGGAATAATTTTGAATTCTGGAAAATTGATAAGAAATGTATGATGAGAACTAACCCAATTTAGGAGGGTTAGCCATGCATGCATGGCTAAGGGGGGTTGGTTTATTCATACTGAAATACAGTCAAACCTCCTTATGTCGTAGTCGAAGGGACTGGAAAAAGTATTCGACTTATTCGAGGTTCGACTCATCCGAGGTCGAGTGTGTCGTCATAAATTTGAATGCACGAAATACGGTATGCGATTAGTGTAAACTAGATATTTTGAACAGTGTGCCTTTTTCGATATAACACTTTATGATTGTGTATTCAATCTCCATACTTTTTGGTCCCTCATGATAATTTAACACAAGTACAGATACAAAACATTCGCAAATAAAATAAATGCACAAACAAAAATATTTACAAAGGTCAGTCACTATAAATTATGAAATCACTCGTGGAAAGAAACAAGTTCTGAAATATCTGATGAGGGTCATCGCTTTGCATTCAATTATTATAAATTTATTTTAATTGACTTTATCCTTTTATTTATTGTAATTAATGAATTTTAACTCTAAGGATTCATTTCATCTAGACTTGGGTCATTTAAATGCGAATTTCGAGACATAGGGGTCAATTTACATTAATTTTACATCGACAGGACCATAAAATTTACTTGACTTAACCGAGTATTCAAATCAAACCAGTTCAACTCATCAGAGGTAAATATGCATTGATCAAACTGGAATTTTACCAGGACTCATTACTTTGACTCATCCGAGTTTTCAACACAACTGAGTTCAACACAACGAGGTTCGACTGTATAAGTGAAAGTAAAATTTACGTTAGCCATACTTGCATGGCTAACCTTATTTAGTTTTCATCATACATTTCTTAACGATTTTCCAGAATTCAAAATTATTCCAGATTCAAATAATTCCTTGTTAAAAGGTAAAGTAACAATATCATATTTAATTTGAGTTAAAGTTTTTCAGTAATATTATTGAAAGTTTGCCTCCCCAAAATACTAGCTGCATTTACATGGTGTTTGTTTTTATTGATTTTAACTGGTAGCTTAATAACGAGTACATGGACCCCTCTTTTTAAAAATTACATTTGGCTTGATTATTTGTGCCAATATTTATGAACAAATTACAGATGATTTTTTTTTTTATTAGATAAATATACAGCAGAAAATGACGTTTTTTTCTAAAATCATAAAAATGAGATAAAAATGAAATATTTCCAAAGGATTTTTACACAAATTGAGAGCATACTTATGAAAAGAAAATATTCCAAATGCTTTTACAAAAATCTGCTTGCATTTATTTGTTAGGTATGTCTGTCCAAAGGATAGAAATGTCCAAGAAACCTAAATTTTGAGTAAATGTCTAAAATTTCGGCCCCTGTTATCTCTAAAAGTAGCACATGAAGGTATATTTTTTATTACATATATGAAATTACTAGGTGAAAAATAGCTTGTTCGCAAATTTTCTATGAACAGTGGGATCAAAACTGTATTGTACGCCCTTAAGGCCCTGTCATTTGCTAAAGCACATGATCTTTTCAAAATAGTCATCACAGGTGGTGTTTGAGGAACCCCCCTTGTAAAAAACCAAAAAAAATATTATGAGAGACTAAGTTGAAATTCAAATTAAAGTTTGACTATTAAATTCAGAGCATTGTGAACCTTATAACCCCCTCAGAGACAGATGTGTGATACAGTCTCCTTCAAGGCACTAGTTTTTAGAAGCTTTAGTAATTTAGGGCTTGATATAGGGTATGGAAGCTTATTACCAACAGTAAAAACCATGCTGAACTTTTTATGTTTTTAGTCTGTTTATAGTTTTTTTGGGTTATTATTCTGTCTTATTCACTGCACATTTTTTCTTATTTGTATTCTGTATCAGATGATACCAAATACATTTGTAAATAATAATATTATAGATAAATTAAGAACCCTAGCTTGCAGTTATTAAAGCCTGAAGAACCCGACTTTTACAATGGGGCCCACATAGGGATCTCTTACTGAATGAACATGGTTTTAAATTCTAGAACAACTGAACTTTGTTTCAGATTAAATCAGGTACTAGTATTGAATTTTACATTTTATTTATCTTTTTCACAGGTTATCAGGAGAAGAAAATTGAACAGTTTGAATCCAGTTCATCTGAAGTTGTCAGTCATGTACATAATTTGTTAAACCATTGGTCAAAACATAAACATTCTACAGTGGAAGTGTTAATCAAGGCACTTCAAATTACAAACAGATTTGATATTGTCTTAATTTTACAAAGAGACATCACAGAAATAAAAAGTGGCAATCATTTACGTAATGTTATTTAAGGATGTATCATATTAATATTTCATGTTGTTAATTTATATTTATTATTGAAATTTTTATAACAATGTATTTGTCTTTTAATTTTTGAAGCATAGGAGTGTGTAACATTTAAAAGTTAGTTGTTGCATTTATGTCTTGAGGAGAAATAAATGCTCATTTGTCACTGATGTCTTCAAAATATCAAATTTTCTCTGAATCAACTAAAACTAATCAGTACCAGACTGATTTTGTATACTTTGTAAAGAATAATGTTGCTAAAATAGAATGCAAGGGCATACAAAGTATTATTTAAAAAATCCATCCTGACAATCACAGTTTTCTTCTCAATGTTCAGAATGTCAACATGTTTCTACTTTCATTTTTGTCGAGCCTGCAACATTTATGTTGGGAAAGCGAGACATATAGTGATCCTAGATTCTGGTGTCGGCGTCAACATTTAGGTTCAGTCTGTGGTTAAAGTTTTTCAGTCATCAATAACTTTGTCAAACTTTAATGGAATTTAAAAACTTATGAAATTTGGAAAGAAGCTTGTTTATGAACAAAAGACAGTGTCCAAAATTTTGAAAATGTTTATTTTCATTTTTCCATATTTTACTGATAAATGGACTTAGTTTTTTTTTTTTTTCAGTCTGAGGTTAAAGTTTTTCAGTCATCTATAAATTCGTCAAATGAAGTTGGATTTTTTTACAGATAAAAAGTTGATACAGTCTGGGGTTAAAGTTTGTTGCATATCAATTTCTTTGTCAAACCTTCATACATGTAGAATTTTATGTAACTTTGGCAGAAGCAGAATCTAAGAATGATTAAGAGATAATGTCTGAAGCAAACTTTGGAAAATATTTTTTTTTCATTTTCAGTATTTTTCTGAACAAAGGACTTAGGCCGTGCTCACATTGAGCTTAACTCGGTGTGGTGTACGTGTACACTACACTTTAACTAAACTCAATTACATTCCAATTGATAAAAATTAATGTTTACATGTAGTTTAAAACAGGTTTTGACTACATGCAGTCGATAGTCAATGTAGGCTTAGTGTGGGTTAAGTGTTCATAAAACAAAATATTAAGAAAGTGGATTTTATTGTGAATATTTTAGGAAGTTACATATATTGAATTGATATGATTATAATAATACTATGAATTAAGTTATTTTCCTTTTTATATGACAAAAACTCAAAATTTGCTCCGTAAAAAACATGATTGAATTTAATCGCCTTAGTGGACCAATTGATTTTCAGTTGGAGGGGGATTTTTTGCTGATAGAATATTCATTTTACACCGGTTGATAATATACAGCTAATTTATATAGCACGAAAATTATTTTCACTTTTTGTACACAACTTTTTCTTGCAAAGTCCTGCATTTTGTAGGACAAAATATTTATTTTCCTCATGCCACGGACAAGGTTATTTTTACAGTTAGTACCAGTCCAGACTATTCATTTCCAAAATCATCCCATGTGTGTCTGGGGAATAGAAATATGGCCACTTAGATCTTCTTCCTATCGGCCGTAAAACCCTTGCCAAAGTAGGGCGTCCGTTTGGCTGTGCAAGATGTTCAAGTACTCAGCCACGTCCATCTTCATCTCGGACGACCTCTATTACAGGACCTACCTATTGTATATATTGTGAATTTGTTCTCGTCCAGGACATGCATTAAATATTTGCCACTGGACGTTTATCAATCAACAATCAATCAATCAGTCATTTTCAAAATCCTTTTTTCGCCTATTGTTACGCTGTTTTAGCAAATGTAATCGCGACATCCTTAGAACTCTCAAAGTTCTCCAAATCAATAGAACGATTTTCATAGGTAACGACCATTCATCTTTATGGGACAAACCATTTTTTATATTACTTTAGTAAAAAACAAAAACAAAATTTCAATAACATACAGGAACATTTTTAAACTCGATGTTGAATCCCCCCTCCCTTCCTTTTCAAGAAATCAAACAATTTTTCTCACTTCCCTCCTGAAATAAAATATAATTTTTTCTTTAAAAAATGAATTTAAACAATTTATCTCCCCCCCTTCCCCCCCAAAAAAATAGAAAATAAAAAAAATATATGAATTGGTCTACGCCTAACTGATACAAAAGTTTACAGAGAAATTTTAATTAAATTTTAGGTAATGTACATGTAAATTATGTGTACATGTTCACTGTGTTTACTGATGTGAACAATTTTCATGTACAGGTAATTAAAACCAATGTACAGATGAGAACAAATTTAATGTGAAACCAGAGTTCATTGCATGAAACTAATTGTAAACAGGTTTACAGTACACAGCGTTTGGTGTGAACACGGCCTTAGTTTATTACAGTTTACATTTACAGACAGTTTTGGATTAAATTTTTTTGACATGATAAATTTGTAAACCTTCATTGATTGTTATGACACTTGGACAGAAGCTAATCTTCAAGACCATGAAATAGCATCTATTGAAAAAGTTTGAATTTTTTTTTAAATTCTGTATTTTACTGATAAATGGACTCACTTTTTAAGTCAACATTACACTTTTACACTGACTGCAGTAATCGCAGGCGAGACACAGGGTTTCACAGAACACCTTATGAATTTTTTAACAAATTTATCAGACGTTTGATATAGAAGTAATTGCCCTAAAAAGATGATTTTTGACCAACTTAAACATTTTGCCTTTTATCGTTAAAATTATTTTAGAAGGCACAAAATGTTTTGCAAGTACAAGACATACACAAATGCAGATAAGACCGAAGCAATCAATTGACACCTGTTAGAAGTAATTGCAAAGGCATTTTTTACAAGTTTTAACATTTCTGCCTAATATCTTGAAAACTATTGTAAATATACAGAAACCATTAAATGATGAGATGATTACGTACTTTTCTGCAATACAGTTGTTTGACAGGTTTTAGGAATTCCTATGGGCAAGGGTTGCACCCTTTAATAGCAGACTATGTTCTTGTATTTTATGAATCACAGTTTATAGTACAATTTGTCTAAATAATGGCCAAACTCAGTAAAAATGTGTCTATAAAATATTCCATTGAATTGAAAAATTAAATAACACTTACCCTTACCTTGAAGATATTTAATATTTGAATTAAAAAATAATTTTCTAATTGTACTTTAGGGAATTTACTTGAAAAAAAATCTAATACAAACAGCAATAATGGTGTTTTTTACTTCTAGATTTGGATATTTCAGTTTCACAGGGAAATCTCTATAAGAGATAAAAGAGATGATTTTTAGTTCCCTTTTGTTTATTTTCGCTTTTTGGATGGTGATGTTCCTTTGGGCCCTTCCATCGTTTGCTTTGTTAGTGTCTGTAGTGACATATAAGATTTAAAGTAAAGCCATATGGGATTTTTCAAATTTAACATTAAAAAATCTTTAATTTTATTAAAATCTTCAGAAATGTACTGCTATTGAATAATTATCTTCCCTACTCTAATTGACCAACAACTCTTTGGTATGCAGTGACCTTAACCATAACACCTTTCATTAGAAATCCAGCAATGGCACACGGCAAGTGAAAAGTTGAAAACTGATGAAAGAAAAAAATAAACAAATATGGAAGAAGTATTAATCCATTGTGAAAGAAATCTTTAAAATACACCAAATTATTTACTGGTAACAACTGTTATGAAAAAGTTGAATAAATAAATTTGAACACATGGAAAATATAAAAAAAACAAAACTAAACAATGCTGTATCATCTCAATAATTTTTCAGGTGCTCCATGGTTCTATGTTGATTGTTTATTAAGGTCATGATTTGGTAAACTTCAGCTACAAAACCCCAAAGTTAATTAGTAGCTAAAGTTTTCAATCAATAATCACTAAATGAATTTTTTTTTATTAAACGTTAAGGATTCAGATTAAATGTAAAAAAAAGTGCACATAGGACTTAGTTTAGTATATATGCATGCATTGCTTCATTAATTTCCTTAACATTATATTCACCAGAAACATGTTTGATTTGACTAAAACATAAACTTTGTATAACAGGTAAATTATTAAGTAAAGTTACCACAAATTACTGTAACTTCAGAAAATTCTGCAAAGTTTTTATAGTTGGGAAAATTGTGACCAAAAAGGTTTTGAAAAAATAAAAACTTGCATTTTAAGTTTTTGATAGCATTATTTGTCATCACTTGGAGTCTGTCGTCATCCGCTAACTTTTACAAAAATCATCTCCTCTGAAACTACTAGGCCAAATTTAACCAAACTTGGCCACAATCATCATTGGAGTATCTAGTTTAAAAAAAAGAACATGTATTCATTGACCCCGCCTGCCAACCAAGATGGCCGACATGGCTAAAAAAAACCAGGGGTAAAATGCAATTTTTAGCTCACCTGATCAAAAGGGCCAAGTGAGCTATTGCCATCACTTGGAATACTTGGTCATTGTCTGTTGTCGTTGATGTAAACTTTTTCAAAGTTCTCCTCTAAAACTACAGAACCAATTTCAACCAAACTTTAAATAAATGATCCTAATGGTATTTAGTATGAAATTTGTGTTTTTTATTTTGGTCAGTCAACAAACATGGCAGCCATTTCTAAAATTAGAAACATATGGGTAAAATACTGTTTTTGGGTTATATCTCAAAAACTTAAACAGTTAAAGCAAAACTAACTGGAATCGGATTTATCAGCAGGTCCAGATCTACAAGTGAGGAAATTTTTAAACAAATCAGACATCTGAAATAATAATTTTTATAAAATTTCTTATGTTTGGTTGTTATCTAGAAAACTATTATAAATAAAGAGAAATTTTAACAGCAAAAATGTTTAACAAAATAAGATCTACTAGTAAGTCCAAGAAGGGAATTCGTCAATTAATCCCTTATAGGAGTTATTGTCCTTGAAAGACTTTATTGAATATTGACGTTTTATTCAGAAACTATGATAGATAGAGATAAACTTGAAACAGCAAAAATGTTCAGCAAAGTAAGCGAGCTACAAATAAATCAACATGACCAAAATTTTCACTTGATTTTTTATAGGAGTTATTTCACTTGAAAGATAATTTATATTAATTTTTTTTAGTTTTTTGCATAACTATTATAGATAGACAGAAACTTTAAAAAGAAAAAAATTTCAGCAAAGTAAGACCTACAAATAAATCAAACATGAATGAAATTGTCAATTGATCCCTTGAAAGATATATTTTACCAATTTTGCAAACCAAGATGGCCGACATGGCTCAAAATAGAACATAGGGATGAAATGCTAGTTTTGTCTATTATCTTGAAAACTGCGATAAGTAGAGAAAATCTGACTGGGGCAGAAATGTTTAGGATATTGAGATCTTTCTGCTGACCATTTATATCAAAACTGTCAGACGATTTCTTATAGGAGTTATTGCCCTTAAATATCTAATTTACCAATTTTTTTTCATTGTTGCCTATTATTTCAGACATGTGATTCTTCCGGCGGGTGTCAAAATCTACCGATTTTTAAGCCCTCTTCCATCCCTTCCATTAATAATTCAGTTAATCATCTTCCGTTTTTTTCAAAATTTCAACCCCAAAAAAATTTGTCAGTCTCTATTTTTTTTATTACCATCAATGTCAACATTAATAATGTTTTTGTGTCACTGATGAAGGTAATTTTTACCTGTAATTTAAATCAAAGAACTTGTATAACTATATGGCTTCACTTAACAGTTTGGGTGTCAAACGTACTATTTTGAAAACTACAAAAGATAGAGAGAAACTTTAATCAGGAAAAATTATCAGCAAAACAAGATAAAACTTTGAATCTTGAATCTTGAATCTTGAAAAATTAAAATGTCTGAAATCGTTAGAGGACTTGTTAATGGAGTTATTGCACTTTAATGAAGTTTTTTACCATTATTTTTGCATTTTTGCTTATTATCTTGAAAATTATAATAGATATATAGAAGCTTTAAAAAGCAAAAATGATAAGCAAGACAAGATCTACAAATAAGCCATCATGGCTTAGATCTTGACTCTTTAATGGAGTTATTGCTTTTTCATGATGATTTTTATACGACCGCAAAAAAATTTTGCGGTCGTATATTGGTATGACGTTGGCGTCGTCGTCGTACAAAGACACATTGGTTTTTGCACTCTAACTTTAGTTTAAGTGAATGGATCTCTATGAAATTTTACCTTAAGGTTCAATACCACATAAGGAAGGTTGGGATGGATTTTGGGGGTTATGGTACCAACAGTTAAGGAATTAGGGGCCAAAAAGGGGCCAAAAATAAGCATTTTTGTAACTTCCAGACATAACTTGTGTGTTAGTGTATGGATCTCTCTGACATTGTACCACAAGGTTCCATATCACAAAGGGAATGCTGGGATTGATTTTGGGGGTAATTGCCTCAAAATTTTAGGAATTAGGGGCAATAAACAAGAATTTTTCTAGTTTCATGACAATTGAACTTGTGTGTAAGTGTATAGATCTTTCTGAAATTGTACTACAAGGTTCCATATCACAAAGGGAAAGCTGGAATTCAGTTTGGGGGTAATTGCCCAAAATGATTAGGATTATTAAGGGGCCAAAAATAAGCATTTTTCTAGTTTCCAGACAATAACTTGTGTTCAAGTGTATGGATCTCTCTGAAATTGTACTGCAAGGTACCTTACCATGAAGGGAAGGCTGGGATTGAGTTGGGGGTGATTGCCTCAAAATTTTAGGAATAAGGGGCCAAAAAGGGGCAAAAAACAAACATTTTTCTAGTTTCAGGACAATAACTTGTGTGTAAGTGTATGGATCTTTATGAAATTGTACTACAAGGTTCCATATCACAAAGGGAAAGCTGGGTTTGAGTTTGGGGGTAATTGCCCTAAATGTTTAGGAATTTGGGGCCAAAAAGGGGCCAAAAAACAAGCATTTTCTAGTTTCCAGACAATAACTTGTGTTCAAGTGTATGGATCTCTCTGAAATTGTACTGCAAGGTACCATACCACAAAGGGAAGGCTGGTGATGAATCATAAGGGGGTTCAAAAAATTTGGGGGGGGGGGGGGGTTTTCCTTTTTTTCCTTTTTTTTTCTTTAAAATTTTCCATTTTAAATTAGTTATTTCTGATTTATATATAAAAGCAAATAATAATGATATGGTTTGAATAGGTAAATTAAAAAAAAATTTTAAGTTCATAGACCACATTCATTCTGTGTCAGAAACCTATGCTGTGCCAAATATTTAATCACAATCCAAATTCAGTGCTGTATCAAGCTTGAATGTTGTGTCCATACTTGCCCCAACTGTTCAGGGTTTGACCTCTGTGGTCGTATCAATCTGCGCCCAGCGGAGCATTTTATTACTAAAAAGTGGCCATTGTTGAGGATGCAGGTGAGGGACATCTTTAGAGCAACAAGTTTTGAATTGTTCTACAAACGCATTGATAAAGCACATTAAAATTTCTGTACTTAGTTTTTAAAACTTTTACTAAATTCTTTCATAAATACAAATATTTGGTTTGGAAGTTTGGCCTTTAGAATTTTACTAACATGATGTATCACATCTTAATTTTCACATAGAGCCCATAGAATTAGTTATGATCTAATTGTAAAGTCATTGATTCTTTAAATAAAATTATTCTAAACAGTTATCTATTAAATGAAGTAGTAAGATCTTTAAATATAGTTTTAATCAGTTTCAAACTGATTTTGTTTTTGATGAATAAAAACATTACTTCATATTTTTTCCTATACAGTTATAAACACTTATGGTCCTATATCCTGTCAATACTATGTACTTATATTTTGGCATAGCACAAGGTTAATAACTTTTGAACTGAAGCTATCAATAACAGTTTTAATTGCCAGTACTATCAGATCAATACTTTATGTCTTTTTTCTTAATGTTACATGTAGTAGTTATTGTGCTTTGTGCCAATCTGATTAAACAAGCCATTTCCAATTGATTTTTACAGTTTGTATTTATTTTGCACTGTTACACCACTGTTTGAGATTAGGGTATGGTTGGGCATTCACAAACTAGTTTAATCCTGCCACATTCTTTATTTACCAATCCCAAGTCAGAAGCCTTTATAATTTAGTGGAACATCTTTGGATGTTGTCTATCATATTTGTTTTTTGTTTATTGTTTTGTCATAAATCACGATTGGTTTTATTTATGTTTGATTGTTTCTCATTTTGACTATAGGTATGGGTTTAGCTCATTGCAGAAGGCCAAACTCACCCTGAGTTGCTTAAATCTGCTTCATTTGGACTCTGGTGGATAGTTATCTCATTGGCAATCATACCATATCTTTTTTTTAGCTCACCTGGCCCAAAGGGCAAAGTGAGCTATTGTCATCGCTTGGGCTCAGTAGTCGTTGTCAGTAAATTATCTTGAAAACCATTATAGAAAGAGAACATCTGATGGGCCAAAAATGTTTAGAGTGTTGGATCTACTTACTGTAAATAAACTCATCACAGATACCAGGATTAAAATTGTGTATGCCAGAAGCGTGATTCGTCTACAAAAAACTCATCGGTGACACTCCAATAAAACAAGTTACAAAGTCCAAATAAATTACGAAGTAAAGAGCATTGAGGATCCAAAATTCACAAAATTTGCATCAAAACTGTCAGATGACTACTTACAAGTTTAAATGTAGAATATTTCCAATTTCTTTTCACTTTTGCCTGTTATCTTGGAATTTTAATAAATAAAAATGATCAACAAGACAAAATCTACAAGTAAGTCAAATATGGCCGAATTTGTCATCTGACTTTTTATAGTTATTGCCCTTAAATGACGATTTTTACCAAATTTGTTCCTTTATTTTTGCCGATTATCTAGAAAACTATAATAAATAGAATCTTTAAATTGCAAAATAGACCAGCAAGAAAAAAATAAAAATCATCAGTCGAATTTTGATGAGAGTCATTGCCCTTATATGACAATTTTATCTTTTTGATTTTGTGTTTTTGCCCTTCTCTTGAAAAAATGAAAACAACATGTTAAAAATTTCATGTGTCCAAAGCCCTTTTCTGGAATTACCTTCATCAGGAATGCTCAAAGCCAAATATTTGAAAGCCAAGGATGTTTAAGAACTGAAACAGTTGAAGAGCTATATGACCAAAAAGGACCTAAAAAAAAATAGGCAAATCCATCTAAGATCAACTTTGCCTTTGGGAGTTGAAACCTTAGTTTCTTTATAATTTCAAAATTTATAAACAGACAATTTTAGAAAGGTTTGTTATAAATCATGTCAGTAACGAAGTACTAACTACTGAGCTGATGATACTCTTGGGGACTGATGATCCACCAGCAGAAGTATCGACCCAGTGCTGTAAAAAATGAAAACAACACTTTATAAATGTCATGCGTCTGAAGCAGTTTTTTGGATTTACCTTCATCAGGAACGATCAGAGCCGAATATTTGAAACCCAAAGATGGATAAAACTTTAAAAAGCAAAAATGATCAGCAAGACATGAGATTTCCATAGCAACCAAAGAAAATTTTTATTAAATAAGAAATTTTAAGGTTTTAGCAGTGGCGGATCCAGAACTTTTCATAAGGGGGGGCCCGCTCCAGTCATGCTTCACTGATTCCTTATATAATCAACCAAATTTTTTCTAAGAAAGGGTGGGGCCCGGGCCCCCCAGGGCCCCCCTGGATCCGCCTATGTTTAGGTATAAAAATTATAAACTTTTCCCAAGGATTTGTATAGTGACTATACAAATCCTTGCTTTTCCTTAATATTTCCAATGTATGAGTTTAAATGAAATTTTATTGGAAATATTAAGGAAAATTATATAAAAAAATTTCCTAGCAACAGTTTCTGTACATAGCAACTAACTAAATTCCTGTATATATGTAAATGAACAGTAAACCATTTACTGTTTTGGAATGATAACGAATGGAAATTTTATATTTAGTTTATACATATTTTATTTGCAAAAAAAACTCACAAAAAGGATTAGACACAAGTTAGTCCAACTCGTCTTCTCCTAAGATACAATATTAGACAATAGATTTCATAGCATGCAAATATCAAATTTATTATTACACAATATATAATCAAACATCTGTAATATGATGATGTATTAAGAAACATTTTAGAAAAAGGAAAGGTAGGAAGAAGGAAAAAAAAAATGGAAAATAAAACATGCATGTGTGTGTGTGTGTGTGTGTGGATCACTACATTCAGCTTACACACTTGATTTAACAAGGAAACTTTTGGTCTTTTTTATATGATCAAAAACATACCTAGATAATTGCTTCATTTCTTCATTTTGCTCATTTGTAAGATTTATACTACCAGATGTTAAAATCTGAAATTTTATATCACATTTATTTATTACAGTGCTTGAAAAAGGCTAAACATATAGTTGCTCCTAGCAACGAAAAAATGCCCATTAAAGCAAGCAGACTAAAGGAAGAAACTCAAGCCAAAAAGTTAGTAAATGCAATAAAAGTTTGTTGTTGGATGTTCTAAAATAAATTCTATGACGAATGTGATACATGTTGTCCTGTTTGAATTGATGAATATCAGTTTGAAAAAGCAATGTTTTCTTTCATTTTTTTCATCACATATTGTGCACCATTTGCATCTGGTTTTGTCCTGTTCAATGGTACAGTAAAATTGTTATTGTTAACTTTCTAACTATGAATTTGTCTGTTTCCTTTTTTGTAAAGTCCCCTGATAGTTGTAACAACAATACAGAAATCTAAAAGAGTATTACACTTTTCCTTTGTTAATATCCTGCTTTTTCATTCATTATTATTGATAAATAAAATATTGCATCAGTAGTGGATCTAGAGATTCAAATGGGGGAAGATGTTTGTGACTACATGGAACTTTATTTGGATATGCCTGTTATGGTCTCATTGACATTTACCACACCTTCATTCAATTTCAGCACATTGTTCATATCCTTTATTAAAGAAGTTAGTAAATTAACTTCAAATAAAAATACTTTTCTGAACAACACATTCAAACTAAGGATTTGAATGTTAAGAATTGAGGTGAAAAATAAAATTGACGTCTTTCGTGCCCAAAAATTATATTTTTGCTATTCACAACAATTAATTTTTTTTGTCAGATATTCAGAACATTTTTTTGTTTGTTTATTTTTGGTGCAAACAATTTATTAATTTTTTCAATATTCAAAGGCAAATGTTTTTTTTTTGAAAAATCAGAAGTACTCCCTTATGTTGTTGCAAACTCGAAGTAAAATGTAGTATGAATCTGTCACACTGTGATTTGAGTGAAGTTTGGAAGACTTTTTTAAAAATGACTGGTGTGAAATAAATTCTAAGAGAATTGGCCCAACTTAATTAGTAAATTTTGCAATGGTGTATTAAACTAATTCAAAGGGAGTTGGCATTACCTCTTTCCCATCGAGGTCAGTCCACTTTATATTGATTTTTCTATTAATGTGTTTGCATCCTGAATGTGCATGAAATGCTTGCAACAGAACGTTTATCAATCTCATCTAATTTATATGTGGTAGCAGAGACAAATAAATAAATAATGTATTATTTGTCTCTGGTGGTAGTATGTTAATTTGGATACTTTGGTTTTTTGTATCATACTTTGATATTTTGATATTATATATCTGATCATGAGTTAATATTTTTAATTCTTAGTACTTATTGAGTAATTTCTAGTCATGCATCAGTGGTTATATTTATTGTAAGACTTCTTCATAGCTCAGTGAGTTTTGATCGATTGGGTATTTGCTTACTCTCTGGGTTTTACTAGTTTGTGTATGAAAACTCTCTTCTTTATGACAATTGGTTAATTAAGTCATATGTCTTTTTTGGAGGGAAATTCTTTTGTTTGGTTAGAATTTGTTTATATTTTGAACTGAGTGGTGCTGTGCTGTTCCTTGGTATAATTTGTATTCATATTTGGTGTACAACTTTGATTTTATGAAATAAGGTCAGTTTCCTTAATTAATATCTCACATTCCTACATAAAAAAAATACTGATACACATGTATCAATGTATTGTATGGATGGTCAAAATGAATGATTTCAGAATAAAGGTGCAAATGAAAGATTAAAAAACATAAAGTAAAACATATATATAAAACAATGGTTAAATCAGTTAAACTAATTGACACAGTCAAAATAATCATTTTGTAAGTATTAAAGCCAAATTAAATGAATATCTCAGTATTAGCAAAAAGAAGCAATAGTAATAACGTAAAAGTAAATAAATGAAAAATGATAATTTGTATGTTGACATATTTTTGTATATACACAAACTGTTAAAAACATCAGTCAAGATTATTTTTTAATTACAGATATTGAACCATTCCAGTATTGTACATGATGTAGTACCATAGGTTCCCGAGTGTTGTGTATACAGGACCTTTGTACCTCATACATGGTAGGTTTTGTATTCTGTTTATATGTGTCACACAGTGTGTTTTTGTTCTTAACGTGTCTTAAGCTTGGCTATAATATATTTTTTAGCAAGCCCGGGCCCCCCCTTTTGTGGAAAAATATGGATGATTATTTAGGGAATCACTGAAGTATGACTGGAGTGGGCCCCCCCTTATGAAAATTTCTGGATCAGCCACTGTCTTAGATACATGATTTTTTTTATTAGTTGTTATTGGCTTTCAACTAGCTGTCAGTAACTGCGAGTACTGTCAGATCTGTACTTAGTGTCTTTTTTCTTGTATGGGATGAGGGACGGATTTATACCCTGCCACGTCCAGTCTGTGTTTTTGTTTGATGTTTTTCTGCTTTGTATTGATCTGATGAGTTAATAGATATAAGAAGATGTGGTATGAGTGCCAATGAGACAACTCTCAATCCAAATCACAATGTGTAAAAAGTAAACAATTATAGGTCAAAGTTTAGCCGTCAACACGGAGCCTTGGCTCACACTGAACAGCAAGCTATAAAGAGCCAAAAAATGACTAGTGTAAAACCATTCAAACAGGAAAACCAACGGTCTAATCTATATAAAAAACTAGAAACGAGGACAACACTTATGAACCACATCAACAAAGGACAGCCACTGAACATCAGGTTCCTGACTTAGGACAGGTGCAAACAAATGCAGCTGGTTTGAACGTTTTATCTGGTGCCAACCTTCACCCTAACCTGAGACAGTGGTGTAACAATACGACATAAAAGGACACACTATAAAAAATTAATTGAAAAAAGGCTCAACTCATCAAAGCATGAATACTAACAGATTTTAGACAAAAGTTAGACCATGAAAACCAAATTACCAAATAGTTAAATTATAAACCACAGAGAAATATATCAAAGCCAAAACCAGTATGAAATAATTTTGCCAAACAACCAGTCATTTATGGACCACTCAAAAAGAGCTTGTTGAGAAGGATCTTTAACGTGCAAAGAGTGTGGTACTCCCTGAACATGGGACCTCAGATTTAAGCCTATTTCAACTGACTTTTATAGTTTATTCTTATGTTGTGCTGTTACACCACTGTCCTAGGTTAGGCGAGGGTTGAGCACTCACAAACATGTTTAACCCCGCCACATTTTTTATGTGCCTGTCCCAAGTCAGGAGCCTGTAGTTAAGTGGTTGTCGCTGGTTCATGCCTGTCATATTTGTTTTCTCACTTGAATTGTTTCATATTTTTCATGTCAGGGCCTGTTATAGCCGACTATATGGTGTGAGTTTTTCTCATTGTTGAAAGCCAACGGTTGCCTATAATTGCTAACATCCACTTCATTTGAACTTTGGTGGATAGTTGTCTCATTGGCAATCATACCACATCTCCTTATTTTTATAGAGTAACCTTTTTTGTATTGATTATTGGTCAATGGTCATTATAAAAATTATTGACCTGAGGTGTTAATTTTTATTATACTACCAAAACTACCTAGTTTTTGTCGAGCCTATGACTTTTGTCGCAGACAGCTCGACATAGGGATAGTGATCCGGTGGCGGCGTTGGCCAAGGCGGCATTAACAAACTACTTAAACGCTTAATATTTCAGAAGGTAGAAGACCTGGATGCTTCATACTTTGTATATAGAAACCTTATTTTATGAAGTTTTCGTCTATCATATGTCCTTTGTCCTTGACCTCATTTTCATGATTCAGTGACTACTTGAAAAAAAAGTTAAGATTTTTTGAAATGTTTATTTCTCTCTTATTATGAGTCATAGGATAACTATATTTGGTATGTGCATACCTTGCACAGTACCCATGCCTGTCAGTCAGTTTTCACTTGACCTTAACCTCATTTCATGGATCAGTGAACAAGGTTAAGTTTTCGTGGTCAAGTCCATATATCAGATATTATAAGCAATAGGTCTACTATATTTGGTGTATGGAATGATTGTAAGGTGTACATGTCCAACTGGCAGGTGTCATCTGACCTTGACCTCGTTTTCATGGTTCAGTGGTTAAAGTTAAGTTTTTGTGTTTTGGTCTATTTTTCTAATACTGTATGCAATAGGTCAGCTATATTTGGTGTATGGAAATATTTTATGATGTACATTTCAGTCTGGCAGGTTTTATTTGACCTTGACCTCATTTTCACGGTTCATTGCTCAATGTTTAGTTTTTGTGTTTTGGTCTGTTTTTCTTAAACTATAAGGAATAGGTCATCTATGTTTGATGTATGGAATGATTGTAAAGTGTACATGTCTGTCTGGCAGGGTTCATCTGACCTTGACCTCATATTCATGTTTCATTGGTCAATATAATGTTTTCATGGTTTGGTCTGTTTCTTGTATACTATAAGCAATAGGTCAACTATATTCAATGTGTGGAATGATTCTAAGATGTACATGTATTTCTGGCTTGGTTTATCTGACCTTGACCTCATTTTCTTGGATCATGATAAATTAATGTGATACTTGTAGTAAAACTTTGTATTTAGGGCTATCAACATAAAATCAATGGTAATAAAGTAGGCGAGACATTTCAGCGTGTGCACTATGTATATAAATATTTTCAAAAATTATACTTATTTGTTAATCTTAATTCATGTTTTCATGTTTTGCAGGTAGCGACTGAATCAAATGGAGAATCTTCAAAGTTAAATGCAAAGAAAGGAAATATGAAGATAGCCAATGCATGACATAAGGAAAAGCAGTTATGAATTTTTAAATTAGTTAATGAGAGGTCATACATCAGAAAAGACTTAAAGCAAAGTTTAGAGGTAGGAGACTTGATTGGTTGATTTTTATTAATTTTCATAAATTAAAGAGATGTGGTACAGTATGATTGCCAATGAGACAATTAATCCACCAGAGTCCAAATAATGCAGATTTAAGCAACAACTATATGGCTTTCAGCATTGAGCCCAACCCATACCATATAGTCAGCTATACAGCTGCCCCGACATTGCCTATTTATTGTTATGTGGCAAATGTTTCATACATATTCAAGATGGTTTAAAAAATAATAGATCACTGCATGTAGCTTCTGAAAATCTTGTAAAAATTGTTGGAGAGGGGAGGAACTATCACTGAAAAATAGGATTTGTTGGTGATGGCCATAAAATTTGCTTTGCGCCAAACCATCTGCAGATTCTTCATATAAAGAGTTGTTACACAGGAGACTTCAATAGAAATAGAAACATTCTTCATTAGTAATTTCATTCAAAATCTTTTATCAGATCAGACTTTTTCTGTTAAAACATATTGGTATGCAATCCTATTAGCATTTGCTTATCTTATTTGTATGGAGATTATATGGTCCTGTTCCCTCATCATGGTTCATTTACTTTGCAACGTTTGTATTACTTATATGTTAAAGTTTGTGTTTGGTCCAGTTTAAAGGGAACTACTGGTACTTATAATAAGTCAATGGTATTTGGTATTAAGTTGTATTAGCATTTCTTTTCTCCATAGAAATTATTTGGCCCTGCGTCTCAGTCCTGATTCAGTGGCTTTGGATTGTTTGCATTGTCAGAGACATATATATATATATATATATATATATATATATATGTAATCAATGGTTTTATACTTGCCATAGTTTACATGTTTTAAAAAGAATTTCCATTTTAATTTCAGGAATAAATTTAAGATTTAAAATTGTTTGCTCATTTCCCATATTTTACCTAATTGGACATAATATCTATTGATTCCATGTTTTACCTGGTACTATTATACTAATTAGTATCTAGGGTCAATATTTTGACCCCACTCCATTTAATTTGTATTTTACTAATAAATATTGGCATATCTTTTTTGCAGTCAATATTTTGGTACAGTCTGTGATTATAAAGATTTCAAAACTTAAACAACTTTGTCAAAAACCTCCATGGAATTATTTTTTTTTAAATTGGACAGAAGCTTCTTCATAATCAAGAGAGAATACCCTGAGCAAAATTAAGACTTTTCTTACTTATTTACTATATTTTACTGAAAAATGGAATCAGGTTTTTGTCAGTCAACATTAAACTTTTGCACTGACAGCAGTAGTTGTGGGCGGGACACTGATTCTACTGAACCCTTTACAATCTGTTTTCAATCTGTACTAAAATTTATAAAATGATAGTATCATAAGCATAGTTTTTAAGTTCAAACAATATTTTGGTTTATTTGTATACACGTTTCTAAATTATAAATGTTTATAGATAGCTCAAAACCTTTTTTATTTTGTCAAATTTCTAGTATTTATCTCAAATATGTTTAAAAGGGATTGTCAGTTTTCCTACCGAAGGTCGGTGGTTCTCTCCGGGCACTCTGGCTTCCTCCACCAATAAAAACTGACTGCCTATGACCCAAATTGCAATTTGTTTTATAAAACCAAACTGTTCAACTGGTCAGAAATTTGAACAAACCACAGTCAAGTCGTGAAAGTGCAAGGTGAAAAAATAAAGCATACTCATAATCCTATAAGACTTTAATTCCACTTCACTGATATTATGAAAAATCAGTCTAACAATTTATATACAAATGTTATTGTAATTGTCATGCTAAAGGTAATAGGTAGTAATTTTGAATTGCTATTAAAATGTCCAAACTAAGCTTTCATACAATTTTTCTTTCGAAAAGTCTTCTATATTCAGAAGAATCAGACATCATTTGAATTAAGACATCTTATATTCAGTAAAATATATGTGAAATTACAATACGTTGCTAGGAAGTTTCCATGGGAGATAATCAATTTTTTTTCAAAAAGTCTTGTATATTCAAAAGAATAATAATTTTAGATTATCTCCCACGGAAACTTATTAACAACATATGGTAATTTCACTTATATTTTACTAAATATAAGATGATTTTATCATAATATCATTAAAGTGGAATAAAAGTCTTATATGATTGTAAGTATGCTTTATTTTTTTACCTTGCACTTAAGAACCACTTAAAAGGATCAATATATTAAAATGTTATTTTGCTCCATTGTTGAAGCATATGATAAAAAGATCATAACATGTCATTTTTCATATCAGATGTATTAGCCCTCGGTCAATATCACAATATCAGCCCTTGAACCTTCGGCTCTTGGGCTGATAATACATCTGATATGAAAAATGCCATGTAATAATCTGATAGTATTTGTTTAAAAAATATCTTTAAAAAGATATAAAATGTCTTATTAACTATATATGATGTCTAATTGTGTTTAAAAGATTATCTTTTAAAGTTAACAAGATTTATAAAGTGTATAAGATATTTTATAAACTTCAAATTAAATAAGATATCTCATTAAGAAATAAGATATATATTTAATTTCATAAGATATCTTGAGATTGAATAATATAAAAACGGCTTGCTATACTAAAAAATAGGGTTTTTTTTTCAAGTGAAATACTCACTTATTGTGAGTGATAGGATAACTATGTTTGGTATGTTTGGGTTCCTTGATCATTGATCGAGGTTAAAGTGACATGGTCAAGTCTGTATCTCAGATACTATTAGCATTAGGTAAACTATATTTTGTGTATGGAATGATTGTAAGGTCAATCTGGCAGGTTTCATTTGAGCTTGACCTCATTTTCATTGGACATAGTTTTTGTGGTTTTGTCTATTTCCTAGATATTATAAGCAAAAGGTCAATTATATTTGGTGTATGGAATGATTGCAAAGCATACATATCCGTCTGGCATTCATATGACCTTGACCTCATTTTTGATGGTCATTGGTCAATGTTAAGATTTTGTGGTGTATTCTGTTTCTCAGATAAGGTAGGTACTATTAGTGATTGTATCACTATACTAGTATGTGGTGTATGGAATGATTGTAAGGTGTACATGTCTGTCTGGCATGGTTCATCTTACCCTGACCTCATTTACATAGGACATTTATAAGTTTATGTAAAACCTTCATATTACAGACTTTAAACATGAATTTCTATGATATAAAGTAAAACAGGCAAGACATTTCAGCATGTGCACTCTTGTTTTTGTCTCGCCTTGATGGAGTCAATAAGCGAGACATGGGTATGCTGTTTCAGGCATCGGTGGAGGCGGTGTCAACAATGTATAAGTTTGTGATAAGGTCTAGTTTATGGTGAACCACTAGTGGTAGGTCAATGATATTTGGTATGCAGTTGTATTAGCATTGGCATATCTCATTTCCATGGAGATTATTTAGCCCTGCCCCCTCAGTCATGGTCTATTGACTTTGAAACTTTTGCTTAATTTACATGTATTAGTTTGTGATTAGGTCAGTTCAAGGGGAACCATTAGTGGTAGGCCAATGTTAATTGGTATGCAGTTGAATGACCATAAGCACATCTCATTTCCATGGAGAATATTTGGCCCTGCCCCCTCAGTCATGGTCTATTGACTTTGAAACTTTTGCTTAGTTTACATGTATTAGTTTGTGATTAGATCAGTTTAAGATGAACCGCTAATGTTAAGTCAATGATATTTGGTATGCAAATTTATTGGCATTTGCAAGTCTCGTTTAGATGGAGATTGTATAGCCCCACCCCCTCATCATGGTTCATTGACTTTGAAACTTTTACATAGTTTACAAGTTAATGTTTGTGTTTAGGTTTGTTTAAAGGGAACGACTTATGATAAGTCAATGGTATTTGGTATGCAGTTGTATTAACATTGGTACATCTCATTTCCTTGGAGATTGTTAAGCCATGACCCTTCTTTGACTTTAAATATTTGCATAACTTACATGTTAAAGTATTGCTATTTTAATTTCAACATTTGCATTATCAAAATTACAAAAAGGCGAGACATATCTGTGTTAACAGTTTATATAAAATATTTTTCATTTTGTCTTTAGTTTCTATGTACATGTCCTATGACCTCCCCCTTATTCCCCTTTTGCATTTATCTGACATTAAAAGTTGTATTTTGCAATTATTCAACAATCATTTGCCAATTAAAAATTTTTCAAACTAAACTTTTCATAATAGATATAAGAAGATGTGGTATGAGTGCCAATGAGACAACTCTCCATCCAAGTCAAAATTTATAAAAGTAAACCATTATAGGTCACAGTACGGTCTTCAACATGGAGCCTTGGCTCACACCGAACAGTAAGTTATAAAGGGCCCCAAAAATTACTAGTGTAAAACCATTCAAACGGGAAAAACCAACGGTCTAATCTATATAAAAAACGAGAAACACTTATGAACCACATCAACAAACGACAACTACTGAACATCAGAACCTAAGAATGTTTCATCTAAAGCTGATTAAATTCCAACAAATAGCATACTTAAGGACTATAAATGTTGTTTTTACTTTTCAGTATGTTGAGAGAAGTTCAGAACAAGTTATTTTGTTTGAAGAGGAATCACAGTGGTCAAGACTTCATCTTTGAATAAAGTGAATTGTATTAGAAGTGAAGCCTTAACAGTCATGAGACAATAATCAATATTTAATTGTTTATTTCAAAGACTATGTGGATGTAAACTGACTAGCATTTATATGACTTAAATGTGGCATTTTTCATATGAAGACATACATGGGCAAAGAATTGGATGCGACAACAATTTGTATGCATTTAAAGACTTGAAGAACTTGTACTGTTTTCTTCAGATTTTAAGAGAATTAATGTTTAAGACCGTAAATTCTGTGTATGAAATGAAGAATGTGTGCTCATTAAATGAATTATAAAAATGTTTTCTACCTTGAATCTATAAAAACAACATAAAAGATAGACAAATTTCTTTCTTTTTTTCGTGACACTTATTACAGAATTAATTCTTATATACTAATTCTTGATAGATGTGCTTCGAGAAATTCCACACAAGGTGTCTTTTGCAAGTCTATTTGTTAGCCTGAAAGTGTAACTCAATGGGTTATCAACACAAAAAACTACAGTTAACTTTCAGCCATATAAAAATAAGGAGATGTGGTAGGATTGCCATTGAGACAACTATCCCTAAAGGCTAAGATCAAAGATAATGAATGAATTATAGATTATCATGGATTTCAATACAAAAAAAAGATCACCATATAACATTCAAATACCATTAGGTACTAGTAGTTATAATCGTTTATTGTTAAAGACTGTATTTTGACATTTTCATATCTTTCTGGTTTTACTCTATTGTTGAGTTACTGTCACACTGTGTTTACCCAAAGGCCACATCTTCAATCTCATATGAAAACCTTCATGAAAATCAGACCTAGACTACTAAGTAAATTTTTTATAGAAAAAAATATTCACTATTTACCACAGGAAACTTAGAATCAAGGTGTTTATGTTATTATTGCAGTAGGTTCTTCAGTATCTACATTTTATAAAATTTGTTCAGTGACTGACATGAAAAACATGATAATGATGTTACTTATCAGTAAGCATTGGATACTTGTAAAAAGTTTGGGAAGTTAAGCCGCTCTCTGTGTTTAGGGTTCACAGATGCTATACCTCTGCTCTAGGTATAGTAACGTCCCCTACCATACGGATACCAAGTATCTACTATTACTGGTACAAACTGACTGAGTGAGGCGGCTCGGTCAAAACTTTTGGTGGGTGGGGATATTTTATCTACCATACATACCAATTATTCGCTATAACTGGTACAAACTGAGTGCGACCGCTCATTTTGAGCAAGGTGGCTCAGTTTGACAGAGCGCGGTGGCACTGTCAATTTTAACAGGTAATGGTATTTTATTTGTTTTTATCAAATTTTAATTGGGAATATTTTACGGCTTTTATCCAAATTTTAAAATTGGGATGTTTTACTGTTTTTATCCAAATTTTAATTGGGGATTTTTTATTGTTTTTATCCAAATTTTAAATGGGGATGTTTTACTGTTTTTATCCAAATTTTAAATGGGGATGTTTTACTGTTTTTATCCAAATTTTAATTGGGGGTCATTTTATTGTTTTTTAAAGGGACACGGTATTTTATTTGTTTTTATCAAATTTTAATTGGGTATGTTTTACTGTTTTTATCTACATTTTAAATGGGTCATTTTATTGTATTTTATTTGATTTTATCAAATTTTAATTGGGGATATTTTACTGTTTTTATCCAAATTTTTAATTGGGGATGTTTTAGTATTTTTATCCAAATTTTGATTGGGGATGTTTTAATGTTTTTATCCAAATTTTAATTGGGGATATTTTACTGTTTTTATCCAAATTTTTAATTGTGGATGTTTTAGTATTTTTATCCAAATTTTAATTGGGGATGTTTTAATATTTTTATCCAAATTTTGATTGGGGATGTTTTAGTGTTTTTATCCAAATTTTAAATGGGTCATTTTTTGTGTTTTAAAGGGACTGGGTATTTTATTTGTTTTTATCAAATTTTAATTGGGGATATTTTACTGTTTTTATCCAAATTTTAATTTGGGATGTTTTATTGTTTTTATCCAAATTTTAAATGGATCATTTTATTGTATTTGAAAGGGACAGGGTATTTTAATTGGGTATGTTTTATTGTTTTTATCCAAATTTTAAATGGGTCATTTTATTGTATTTTTAAGGGACAGGGTATTTCATTTGTTTTTATCAAATTTTAATTGGGGATATTTTACGGTTTTTATCCAAATTTTAAATGGGGATATTTTACTGTTTTTATCCAAATTTTTATTGGGGATGTTTTAGTATTTATCCAAAATTTAATTGGGGATGTTTTAGTATTTTTATCCAAATTTTAAATGAGTAATTTTTTTGTGTTTTAAAGGGACTGAGTATTTTTTGTTTTTATCAAATTTTAATTGGGGATATTTTACTGTTTTTATCCAAATTTTAATTGGGGATGTTTTATTTTTATCCAAATTTTACATGGGTCATTTTATTATGTTTTAAAGGAACTGGGTATTTTATTTGTTTTTATCAAATTTTAATTTGGGATTTTTTAATGTTTTTATCCAAATTTTAATTGGGGATATTTTTCCGTTTTATCCAAATTTTAATTGGGGATGTTTTACTGTTTTTATTCAAATTCTAATTGGGGATGTTTTACTGTTTTTATTCAAATTCTAATTTGGGATGTTTTACTGTTTTTATCCAAACTTAATTGGGGATGTTTTACTGTTTTTATCCCAATTTCTAATTGGGGATGTTTTACTGTTTTTTTCGAATTTTAAATGGGTCATTTTATTATGTTTTAAAGGGACTGGGTATTTTATTTTTTTTTATCAATTTTTTATTGGGAATGTTTTACTGTTTTTATTCAAATTTTAAATGGGTCATTTTATTTGTTTTTATCAAATTTTAATTGAGGATATTTTATGGTTTTTATCCAAAATTTAATTGGGATGTTTTAGTATTTTTATCAAAATTTTAATTGGGTATGTTTTACTGCTTTTATTCAAATCTGAATTTGGGATGTTTTACTGTTTTCATCCAAATTTTAATTGGGGATGTTTTACTGTTTTTATCCAAATTTTGATTAGGGCTGTTTTAGTGTTTTTATAATAATTTTAATTGGGGATATTTTTGTATTTTATCCAAATTTTAATTTGGGATGTTTTAATGTTTTTATCCAAATTTTAAATGGGTCATTTTATTGTTTTATCAAATTTTAAATGGGGTATTTTACTGTTTATATCAAAATTTTAAAAGGATAATTTTATTGTTTTATCAAAATTGTAATAGGGTATTTTACTGTTTTATCAAAATTTTAAACCTTTCTTTTTATCAATATTTTAAATACCCAATCATGCCAATGTCAAATCAGAGACTTTAAAACTGGTACTCAAAAAGGAAGAGGCAGGTGTCTTACTGCGGGCATTTGTCTTGGTGAACTAGCACCTTAAAGTCCAGATAACCCACAGGCCAGCTGGCTAGTACAAGCAGACAGGTACTTTTGTACCATTTGGCATTTTAAAAACTTTTGACAAATTTTACTTTTTTACTTTTATCTTTTTGTATTTATCTTTTTTTTTAATTGTTTTGAAATATTATTAACATCTTTCAGTTAAATACACATTTTGGCAGCATAATGGTTATCCAAGGATAGTTTCTTTTTATAAAATTTGCATAACACATTTTGGCGTATTGTAACTTTGGCTGTTACTTTAGATTTCAAGAAATGATATGATAACCATTTAATATTGAAAATAAAAACTACAACTTCAAAGTTGGCTCAATACTAACAAAAATTCCATATTTCATTTCAAAGTTTTGATCTTCTTTTCAATGTTGGAATTTTTATTCTTCCATGCTTCATGATTAAAAATCTTTTCATCAACTAACAAACTTAACATAGGATATCTAACACACAGAGTAGGCTAATATAGGTGGCTAAAGTTGGATTCGAGAGAATGGAGGGAGGGAGAAATGTGAAGAATTGAGAGGGTAAAGATGTATGTTCTTTAGGGAGAAAAAGGAAGAATTGAGAGGATGAGTAATATTGAGAGTGGCATGCAAAGAAGTAAGTTTGGGAGGGAGTGAAAGAGGGAAAATGTTAATTACTGCATAAGCTTGTTGTACTGGTCAAAAAGGAAGTGCAGTTTCTCTTTTCTCTCGTAGTTTCTATTTTCTTCAGAAATGTGTTAATATTTTAACTTCTGAAATTACTGCTGTCTAAAAATATACAAGTTAACAGCCTTTCTTGTTACTGATTATGTGCTTCTTATATATAAACATTGCAGCACTTCACAGTGACTAGATAGGGTTGCAGCTTTTCAACAATTTTAACAGCATTCTCTAAGGGAGCTACCAAAAAAAATACAAAATATAAAAATCAAATGGTAGTCCCCAAACAGTTCTATATGTAGTAATATAGACACTTACACTTTATGAATGTTTCTTTCATTCTGAGAAATTTTGCTTTCCAATCTTTTGAAATGCCTGCTCAGCATCTTTTTACAACTTTCTTTGTCATATTCTTCTTTGTGCATCTTTGCTGTAAAGTTTATTATTCATTCTCATCATATGGGTTTTATATATATATCAGCCTTAAAATGTTGTAATGTTTTGTAGTTATCTAATATTTCATGGTCGACTAAATTTTAGTCTAATTTTTGTTGAGCCTGCGACCTGAGACTACTATAACACAGAGATTGGTCACTTCCCGTACTGACCAGTCAAATAGTAATTTTAAAATTGTAAGTCTTCGATCACGTGACTTGGCACGTGACTCGCAATGATTGACAAGAAGGATTCGACCGCCATTTTTGACAGCGAAATAGAAAATAAAAATTAACAAATGTGGATTTATAAAGAGTGTTATGTTCCGGTAAGTGTGAATATAAGATTTGACATGTTCATAAATGTTGGTTTATAAGCACTTTAAATAAAATAAGTGCAGTCATAGACTTGAATTTACCGACCAAACCGGAAAGTAACCTCCAGTTATTACCAATCCGTGGGACAGGGTCAATGAGCAACTCACCCATAACTTACATTCAGATGTACAATCTGTTTTCCGGATAATGTATGTGCAAGCCTTAGTAATTAACCGATGTAATGATGTAAAATTTGTAATTATATGAAATTCCAATTTTTCTGTATCAGTAAGTTCCCGCTGCAGAACTGAGAAACACACGAGGCAAGTTGCACACACACAACATGAGGTCTGATAGGTGAATTTGTATTGTTAGTGAAAGAAATTTAGATTTATATTTGGTTCCCTTGATAATATATATGCAGTCTATACATGCTAGTATAATAATATTATGCAATGAAAATGTGTCACCATGTGAAATACCAGTACATCATGAGTTCCTAAATAGACGTATTTTTTTTTAAATAATTGACCCAAAC